GGCGGCGGCACCCCCAGGTCAGAGAAGGGCTCGTGTTTCCTTGGACCGAATCAGCCAACTATGAACCCAAACTAAAGACCGCCACTGGTTTTCAGCAGCCAGAGGACGAGACCTTTAGATCTTGGGGCGCATCGGCACTCCACCGAGCAACGCCTTGGTGTTCTGCTGCCCGGTGCCACCGCCACCCGCTCGGCGCGGGGGAAGCACCACGGCTCCGGGCTGGTCGCAGGTTTCATCCCATCGTGGTGATTTACAGAGGCCAGAGGTGCCAGGCCCCGCTCCCCGCAGCCCGCTCCCACCCGTCGGCCCACGATCACCCGTCGCCTTCCAGCTCCCAGCGTTCGAATGAGCTCGGGCAGGGAGAGCCGCGCGGCACGCGGGGTCCCGTCAGCTGATTGTGTGCAGGAGAGGTTGTGGAAATTTTTAAAAAAATTCAATAAACGGTCAAGCACAGGAGGCTCGTTTCGTAGTGCTAAGAGCCAGTTTCCTCTGTGCCGCCCGCCGCTTGGGGGTAATTCTGCAGTAAATAAAGAAACCAAGCGAGACAGACGAAACAGCTGGCTGGAGCGTTCAAAGGGAACGGTCCAAACAGAAATTTGTTTCGTACCACAATAACCAAACCAGGAGCAGAACGGATCAGGCTCACAACGAACACCGGCGGTTTTTTCCCCTCCGTTTTCCCAGAGGAGGCGATTTGCAAAGCTCCGCAGAGCTCAGGGGCCTGCCCCCCACCCAGCGCAGCCCTTGGGCGCAGGGGCACGGCCCGAGGAGCCTCTGGCCCGGCCCAAGGGGAGGGTGCTCGGGATCCCGAGACGAGGGGAGGCACGTGCCCACCTGCACCAGGGGGCCTGATCCTGGCACGGGGCTCCCGGGATGCGGCCGAGGCCCCGGTGAAAGGAGGCGCAGGCACGCACTCGGCGAGCATCACACAGCAGATATTCATAAAAACCTCTCTATATTTTAATAAATGACTGGGTTGAAATTTCACAATTGCTCAACAGCAGGGCCCTAACGAGGTTACGCTCGTCAACCCCAGACAGCACAGGGAACTTCTTTTGCTTCAGCCTGTCTTGAAATGGTGGCTCTGCCCACGCAGTGGTGGGAGAAAGGGGTGTGAAAACCTCCCTCCCTCCTTTCCAGAACCTGGCAGCGCTGCTCGCGCCGCGGTTCATCGCTCCCCTGGCGCGGGAAGCAGGGGGAGGTGGCTGGAGCCCGGCCTGGCGGGAGGGGGGGAGTGGGAGGGGGATCTGAAGAGGGTTTTCAAGAATTTGGTAGCAGCGGGAGAAAGAAACCGGCGGTGCTGCGTGACACACATCGGGCGACGCGAGGAGTTTCCTGTGAAAATGCCAAGTTGCGTTTTACCGCGTCTCCCTTTCTCTTGAACCATGAGGAGGAGCGTTTTCACCAGCTCCATCACCCACGACGGGCACGTGGCTCCACTGCTGCCCCCACCAGAGCGCAGCGGGAGAGCTGGAGTGACCGAAGGAGCCGTGCAGGGAAGCGGCCGAGGGGGTTAAGCCCTCGGTGGAGCCGCAGACACGGGCGTTCATTGGGGAAGAACCAACATCCACCCGCCCACTGTCTGTGCCTCATGATGGGAAACTGGTTATGGGAAAAGATCCTAAACCTGGTTTCAAACTACGCACGTTAACATCACCCAAATGGCTCAGGAGTTCTCCTCACCCCCAGCGACAAGCCGGGTTTAGGACCTGGCACTTCCACAGCACTTTAGACACTCAAGCACCCTGCAGACTCATTTATCCTTCTTCAGACGCACCCTTATTGGGAAAAATGAATTTAATTTTCTTTTTTGTACCTTAAAATTCAAGGAGGGAGAAAGTATTTGAGCCAAAAGAACGAGCCCAGGTCAGAGGGAGGAATAAAATCCAGTATTTCTTGACCCTCAACACTCCACCCGGGTCTCTGCGCCCCACACCGTCCCCTCGCGGAAGCGGACGGATCTCCACCAGCACGGCAACACTGGAAAAGTACAAAAGCAACGCAGATATCAAACCATACAATGGATGCAAAGAGCCCATCGGAACACACCTAACTCTACATGATACAAAAATACTTTGCAAAGAATAAACATCCACTCAGCAGAACTGTTATCAAATTCCTATCTTCAGCGCAGTGACTAACAATACAGCTGCACAGCAATGATTAGATTAAAAGAAACTATTTTAAAAACCAGCTTCAAAGTAATTGTAAATAGTCATTTTGCAAAACAGCACATCTCACTCCGAGGGATATCCCCACGTAAAACCAGACACGGCGTGATTTTGCTGTCAGCTCCCACACATTCGTGCACGCAGATTCTCACGGTGTCGGCTGCCAGGCCCGGGTGACTCCCGGCCCCACGCCTTCGCCATCCGCAAGGATGCCGCGTGCTGGGGCTGGCCACGGACCTGCTGGGGCTGGCCACGGACCCGCTGGGGCTGGCCACCGACCCGCCAGGGCAACCATGCGTTCTGCTGCTGGAGCCGAGCGGGGGCACAACGCACCGTGCGGTTTCATCCTCATTCGTGGCCTCCATCAGAAAGGACTTTCCAGCAGCGAAAATTAGGATTTCCCCCAGACTGCATGGATGAGCCAACCCGTGACCTCAGCGGGTGTCCCAAAAATGCCTGTTGCTAAAAAACCCCCAACCCCAAAATAGGTCTCATTTCTTATTTTGCTATTACTGAATAAGAGGCACGTGGGAGTGACTTTAAAGAAAGTGAACAGAGGACTAAGAAAAATGAAAGCGTGGTGAGGCCACACGCTCTTTAAGGCTTAGGGGAAAACCTTTAAAGAGGAATTAATAATCCCTCCCGGAGGCGTTTTCTCCCCGTTTTGGCGATTCGCCGCTTGAAGACCATCAGGACTGGAACAGCAAGAAAAAGCTTCTCCTATACACTTCTGCCTCGACATCTGACCGAGCAGGGAAACAGGCAGCAGGGCATCAAACCTTTTGCGCTGAGTTAAAGCATACATCACCAAACCAAATGCATGTTAAAAAAAAAAATACAAACATCTTAAATGGCTCTTAATTTTCACAAAAATAAAGTTCGTATAAAAACCGGTCTCTGCTCCCGGGATTTTATACAGTACCACTCACCGCAGCAGCGAGGCGCAGATGCTACAGAACACGGAATTATTTGTAAAAAAAAAACAAACAACAAAAAAAACTGAAAAAGGTGTCACCTCTCTGTGACACTCATTTAAAAACTGGCATAGAAAAATATTCAAGAAATTTCTTTACGCTAATTAAAAAAACCAACCGAACCAGCCTCCCCTCCGATCTAAAACAAAGCCCTTGACCTCGGAAAACCAGTCCTGTTATTTGAGTATTACTCTGTGCTCCCCTCGCGCTATGTGCGAGGAAAACTCGTATCGGTCGTGGCTTCTGTACCCGCAGACGTTGCACTCGAAGGGGTCGCGGAACCCGTGGCAGCCCATGTGGATGGTGAACATCACGTAATCCAAAAAGAGGACGCGGCAGTGGTCGCAGCGATAGACCCCGATGGCTTCCCCTTCCTTGTTGATGACCTTAAAGGCGTCGCGCGGGCAGATGGCGGGTGGCTTGATGATGTCATACGGCCTCGGGAAATCCTTCAGGGACGGGAGGCCGTTGCGGGCCGGAGCGGGGATCATCTGGCTCTGGTGGAAGGTGGGATTCTGCCGCTCCTCGTGGTTGCTGTCAGTGTCTGTGGAGTCTTGGCCGCTGTTGTTGGGGGAGAGGCCTCTGTCGGAGGACAGGCTTTTGTCCCTGAGGTGGCCGTGGCTCTTCTCAGCGTCCTGCGCGGTGCCGTTGGGCGCGTCGGCGCGGGTCAGGGCTATGGGGTACAGGCTGCTGATGACAGGGACCATCTCGGAGGTGGGGGCTGGCGGCGTCTGCACGAGAGGGCGCAGGGCTTCAGCCCCGAGGTAGGTGATGGCGTTGTTGATGGCCTGGTCCATCATGCGCCCCTGCATTATCTCGCTTTCCTTCTCGTACATGAAACTGGAATTATAATTAACATCAAAACTGTGTCGTTTCTCACCTGCAAGAGAGGAGAGGTGTTAAATTACCCGGGTGGGTAAAGAAGTATCTTAACTCCACGATGCCTTTTCTAAACGGCAGCAGTCGGGAAAGTAGAGAGGCCTGAAATGTTCTCTGCAAAAAACGGCTCTTCAGATACACAAGTAGCTTCTGGGTGGGTGGACGGGGGTTGAATTTTGGTTTGGTTTTTTTTTTTTAATTTGGGCTTGGAAGCAAAAAAATCTAATAGAGGAGGTGGTGAGGATACGTACTGGACAAATCATCGTTGAATTTTAAAAATTATTCTGGAATTGAAGGGGAAGAATATTATCAAAGCCCCCATAGATAACTTCTCTCACTTTTCTTTTTCTAGAAAAAGGTAAATAATCACTAATGAAAATACTTGTAAATGACCGAATGGGAGTGAACCAAAGACTCCATTTTTGGTACCGAGAGTGCAACCTTTCGTTCTTGACTTGCCCCCTGAGAAGTGCGGCCCTCTCTCACAGAAAAAGCGAAGACAAGTGCCAGTCGAGATTTGATGCACTTTTCATTATTTTTACCCATCTGACAGAGTCTCCTTTGATGTCTCCTTGGACGTGGAAGTCCATTTTCCCCACGGTCCTCTGACAGCTACAGCCTCCTCTGCACCACGCCTGGTTTCTCTGAACCCTACCCAGGTTTTCAGGTAATCTAACACCCGCGGCTCTGTCTCCGTGTATAGAACAACGCACCGAGGGTCCCTTGACATGGGGCTAGCGAGGGAGGAGTGAAACGTACCCCTCTCTGGGTGTGCTCCGGGGCTTCGAAAGCTCTCGGCTGGACAGAACGCGGGGAGAGAGCAGGTACCCACGGACTAAAGCGAGGGAGGGTGGGCTGGGCACCACACTGCAACTAGTTTTCTCGATGCCAGGTGCAGCAGAAAATAAAACTGCACCCCAAAAGGACTAACGCCCCCTTTATTTTTTTTTTTTTGGTGAATGCCTAGAAATAAGTAACTGAATTCTGTGGTTAAATAAAACATCAAATTGTTCATAGCTTTTTAAAAAAAAATGGACCTGACCAAATGTTTCACGTGCAAGGGACTCGTAAACATCGGATCCACTAAGCTTTTAGTTACGGTAACTCGAATAGTGCAGATGTTTATCAGTCACCTGTCAACACCGTGACTCAATGCCTATGAAACTCATTAGGTTTCACTGCAGAGGCAGAAAACCAGGAGCTCACGTTTCTTTTATAAAACACTCAAAAAGGTTAGCGAACCACAAGAGTGTAACTGCTTCCAACCCTCGACAAAACTCACTATCCAGCTTCACGCAGAAGGAAACACAACGATACAGCGCATTCGCATGACTCACAAAACCAGCTCCAGGCAAGCGAAAGACACGAAGAAATTTGAAATGTCGAAAAAAAAAAAAAAAAAAAAAAAAAAGAAGCAACAAAAGCAAAAATAGACCAGACTCCCTTTAAATTTTGGGTGAGGATTCACTGTCATAAGGCAAGATGCAAAAAAACACAGCGTGTGATCACTGAGGCTCTCACGCTGCTCTGTTTTTCCACTGCCTTGGTGGCTTTTTCGAGTCCCCGCACGAGCCCTGCCTGTCTCCCTCGCATCACCAGCTACAGCAAACGAAATGCAAATACCCAAACGCTCTCCCGACACGCAGGAACGCGTCACGTTGCCGGACACTTTTAAAAGGCCGCGGCACATCAGATGCGGATTCATCCGAGAGGGCAGGAAATCTGGCTGCAAAGCGGGGCACGACACTTCCGAGATCCTTCGGGAGGAAAAGGCGTTAGACAGAGCGGCTTCTCCCCCTCTCTCCCCGCACTGCCCCAGCAGACACCCCGAGGCCGGCGCTCTCGGAGCTGGGTACCGCAGCACGAAGCCCACATTCAGGCCGGATGATGCGCATGGAAGTGCCCCAGCGAGCACTCATTGTCTCTCCAGACCATCAAGCTGCGGCACCAGATGGAAATCGCCCGGATGGGGGGAGCACTCTTGACGTTTATTTTGTTTCCTCTCAGACAAATCCAGTAAACCTTTCCACAGAGAGAAAGAGAAAGCACCGGGGTCGGTGCGTCTCTCCGAAAGGACAGCAGCGAGGCAGGAGAAAGTTGGTATCAGGGATTTAGAAAAAGGGAAAGGAGTCTACAGGGGCCGGAGGATGAGGAAAATGACTGTGCCAGCAGCAGCCGAGGTTTTATCTCCGTAGCCAGCAGGACGATGCGCTGGATTATTCTGAGTTAAGCTGCTACCCACCCCAGGCAAAGCGCCACAAAGTTATGGAAAAAACACCACATTAAAAATGAAATTTAAAAGTTCTCCAGCGTTCATTTAGCCACTGGTTAGCAGAACACCTCTCCTCTTTTTTTTTTTTTTTTTTTTTTTTTTTTGTGCAATGCAAAAGCTTTCGCCTTCAAAATTCACACACGAGCCAGAGCACGTGACACACACCCGTGCGCTGCTCAGTGATGCTTCTTCGCGTGCTGTCACATGGACGTAGATTTTTGCAGCCCGATGAGGTGTGGACACTGGAAGGAGGGAGTGACCCCGCTTCCTGCCGCCGTGCTAACCGAGGCGGCGGGTTCTCGGCGGCCTCTGCGCGCTGGGGGACGGCGAGGTGGGGTGCTGCGTCAGAACGGCACTAGCACTTTTACCACGGCGAGAAATATATTTTTACTCCTGGTCTCAGGGAGAACTTGTTTGTAAAAAGGAAGAAAGAGAAGCCTGTGGGCCAAGACACTCAGCTGGTGTAAGGTGGCAGGAATGCACTGACTGCTCTGGTTACTTTGACTTTTGTCCACTTGAAGGTACAGCCCCGTGAGGGTCCTACACCGCAGTCAAGTACCACCAGCACAGGCATCTGTTCCGCTGGGCTATTTTTATTTGTTCTTTTAAAAATACCTATTTATGAATTCAAGCAGGCAGTATATGGAACGCCAAGGTTTGTAGTGCTGCTCCGTATACATGCAAAATAGGAATCCACAGCAAAACAGGAAACACAGACTCATAAACTTCCCTTCAAATCATTGTTCCCTCGTGACTAAAGGAAAAGCTGAGGACAAAATCTTTGCAGGAGAAGCCTTTGAAGTGGGGCCTAGGCAAAGCTTGTGCACACGAGGTAGCCACCGAAGAGGAAAACGTGAAAAAATAAAGCGGGCAAGACTCCTGGCGCTTGTACGAATCTCTGCAGAGCCCTCAAATAATAATAAAGGGTTGGGTTTGGGGTTTGGTTTTTTTTTTTTCTGGTCAATAGACTTCATTCACAGATATGAGCCAAACAAAGATGCCTTGTTAGTACACATCTCTACCCCTTCTTCCTGACAAAATGAAAAATCAGCGCCCGTCCCGAGAGCGCCGTTTCCCAAGAAATCACAAAGCTGTCCTGGCAGATTTGCACTCCTACACGTACAGTTCAGAAAGTCACAAAAGTCAAATCAAGGTCAGACAGCCTGCACTTGCACACATACTTCCCAGGGATAAAAGGGACCGAGTGAGTAATTTTTTCACACGTTACTTAACAAAAACGCGACAATTACATAGGTTCTAGAAAAAAACGGAACGTTTCAGAAATTGGTTCTTTTGTTCACGTAGGTGTAACTGCCCTGGGTGCTCCAACTTTTCCACAGAAACCCCCTGCGTGACGCAGCCGCCGGTTCATGGCATCTGCAGACCCTGTCACTGGGCACACAAACCAGGACGGGATCTTTTCCACGTGGTAACAAGCACACCGGTAAAAACAAACCCAAAAGCGCTAGCACTTAACTGGAAGCCTACACGGAGTGGTGGTGTCCGGCTGCAGACGTGTTTAATAAAAGACCGTAAAGACTGAACTGGTAACAATTGTAAAAACAACAAAGGGTGAGACTGATCTCAGCGCTAAAAACAAAAAAAAAACAAACAAAAAAAAAACAAAAAAAAACCAAAAAAAAAGGAAGCTAAAGGTTTTCGAACACATTTGCATTAGTATTACTGTCTGAATCACAGCGCGACATGCAAGGGCTAAGTCACACAGTCAACAGTTTCAGTATGAAGTACCCGAAGACACTCAGAGGGAGCGTGCTGGCGATTCTTCATGCCTGCAGAAAGGTGACCTCTGAGAGCCCTGCTAGATGCTGAAATAACAGTTATCGTTTTCGGGGATGAACGTCCAGTGCTACCCACCAAATCCAGGAAGAGCTCCATTGCCTTCCTGAATTAAGTTGATTTTTTGCCCCTCTGGGTTCAGCAGCATCCTGTTACCCACGGCTGAGCTCAGTCCCGGGCGCCAAGGCCAGGTCCTGGGAGCATCCCACTGCAGGCAGGTCTGTCTGGCAGCCATCCCAATCCCTGCCTGCGCTCCCAGCCCTGATCCCTGCCTGCGCTCCCATCCTGATCCCTGCCTGCGCTCCCATCCCCGATCCCTGCCTGCGCTCCCATCCCGATCCCTGCCTGCGCTCCCATCCCTGATCCCTGCCTGCGCTCCCATCCCGATCCCTGCCTGCGCTCCCAGCCCGATCCCTGCCTGCGCTCCCAGCCCTGATCCCTGCCTGCGCTCCCATCCCGATCCCTGCCTGCGCTCCCATCCCCGATCCCTGCCTGCGCTCCCATCCCGATCCCTGCCTGCGCTCCCATCCCTGATCCCTGCCTGCGCTCCCATCCCGTGCAGTCCTGAGCTCGTGCAAGGAGAGCGTAAACCATACCAAACCAATATCTTCATTAGCAAGAGGAAGTGTAAAATAAACTGGCTGGAAAGGGCTGGTTACAAAACGTAGATGGATATACAACCCCTGTTGGCCTTTCTTTTTTATTCTGAGTAAGACTGTGACACCTGCAGACCGACACAGAGCCTCCAAACTTCAGTGCCAGCCCTTGGGTTCTCTCGCCTCGCGTTTTAGAGATCAGTCATATGTAGGTGGCTTCTCAACTAATCACTAAGAAACCTGGATGAAATGTATCAGTGTGTCATTAAAATCAAAATAATATAAGCTTTCAAGATTCACTTCTAACTCTTTTTTTTTTTTTT